CCACAAATAAAACAAAAGTTGTCCGGAGAAATAACACAACTTCTCTGAGCCATAAGACAGAGCTAAAACACAAGCACAGTCACTTTTGAATGCAGGGTGTAAACTGAGTGGCTTATACATCAACCAAGATCCTGAATTTATTTAGCATGTTGAGACATGATCAAATCTGACAGCAGGCTTGTTTATACTCTTTCCTATTGCCCCAAAGAGCATGTTCAAACATGCTTAACCGAGCTAGTAAGATTCCTCACCTTTCGCTACAAACAAAGTAAACGTGTTGGGACATGATCGCCTGGGCTCCTACCAACCCCTTCCACTGCCCCCTCTCCCATCCCACCCATTTTCTATTTGTATTATTTTTTAGATTTACTCTTATAAATATTATTTTAAAGTAAGAAATAATTATTGGATATGGTTTTTAGAATCAACAATAGGATACCAGATTTCATGTTGAAGAGAAATTTCACGCAAAATTAAACTAAAAATATGAGCTTTGCAAAGAAAATTGACGTGATGGATATTTTTTACTATTATTTCCAGTTTTAGTGAGTAAAAATCTATAAGAAACAGTAAAAATATCCTGTGCAGTTTTTTTGGTTGCAGACCTGTGTAATTGTGCCAATAAATAACAATTGCAACACATTGACCAGTGTGTTTTCATAAATGAAAAAATTTTATTGTTGACTAAGATGAATTTCACACTGAGTGGGTGATATATGGATAATAAAGGAAAATGTGAGACATTTCCAATAAGTGATTACATAAATATTTTAGCTCAAGTTGTTGTAAATATTGGAACTTGTGTTGAACTGCCATCGCAGATGAAACTATCATTTTCTACACTAAATGCTGTAATGAAGAGCTGTGAAGGTTGATGTAAGTTGAGCAATATCATGTAGCTAAACATATAGTGAAAACTAAGGCAGTCTTACCATGAATGTTGTAAAAATATTTTTTTTAAATGTAATTGTAAGCAGAGTATGATATTTATATTTTAAGGCAGTGCACTTTGGTAGAAGTCCCCTGATGTTTTAGGAAGAACATACTGCCTTCATTTTCAGGGTCAAATAGTAAGCCAGATAAGAGACAAGAAATAAGCAAGTGGCAGCTACAGCAATCCATGTGTAGGAAAGCTGGCCAGATGTAGGTCAGAAGGGAATTATAGAGCCAATGGCAGCATGATTGTCATCTGCAAGGAGAAGGTACCTCAGTTTGGCTCTGAAATAGAAGTGGTAGAAGCTTGGAGAGAAGTTGTGTGTATGTCTAGACAAGAGGCCAGGTGGTGATAATAGGGACACGAGGTATCGGAAAAGACCATGGAGGATGAAGAACGAAGCCACTCTGAAGAAGCTACTAATGAAAATTAGGAGGATGGGTGCCCTGAAATGGAGAGTCCATGCTTTGAAAAGGGCAGTATGCACTGGCTTAACTGTTGGGAGAACCCAGTCGTGAGAGTCGTATGAAGGAGGCCTGTGTTCTCCCAGGGATGAGATGAGCACTTTCCATGGCTTAAACAAAAGTTATCCTCTTTATTTGTGTTGCTGGGATAGAGCTCAGTTGGGGTCACAACCCTAATGATATACATATGTCTGGGTTTCGTGGATAGGATACCGGTGTCTCGGAGCTGGATGCAGTGTCACAAATCAACGCTGTGCCACACCATGGCTTGCTGGATTGTTTGGATTGTTAAGATGGACATGCTGGTGGTGCTTCTTAACCCAGGTGTTAGTCAAGTGACCTGTCTGCCATATATAGAGCTGACTATATTCACAAGAGATGCTGAGTACACCTTTGTCTTCAGTTCTAGGTTGTCCTTAATTGGCATTGGGAAGCTGGAAACTTTCCTTGGTGGGAGGCTGATGGACTTGATGTTGTGCCAGGACAGCATTCTTTTACTAGTCATTCTGCCTGAATTTGACATTGAGAGATTGTTCATTGTGCACAAAAGTTTGACGAGAGTGAGTTCACTTAGAAGCTGATGTGATTGGGTTTACAGTATACCTTGTGACCCAGCAAGCCTTCATTTATCCTTTAAATGATGATATCCAGGAAGATAATGTGGCTTCCTTAGACTATCTCAATAGTGAGATGGATGTTCTGATGGACATTGCTCAAGTGATTAGGGAAACTTTTCAGCCTCTCCAGTCCATGGGGCCAGATGAAGTTGTCATCCAAGTCACAGAATCTGCAGAGGGCCTATGGATTACAGTTTAAGTTTAGCATGTGTGAGAATAACTGATCTTATAAGGAAAAAAGGTAAAGTTGTCCCTGTGCTTGACTGATTAACACTTTGTGGACCACGCACACTTTAAAAGGTTTTTCGCTTTTAAACATGGCGGACCGTTCACGTGTTAACAGGTTTTTAAAACACGATAAGTTGCAACACACTATACATCTCTCTGGCTCCACCTGGCTAGCACGTAGCTGCTTGCAGCTGCGTTATAAGGCTCTGGAATGTCTGCTGACCAATCAGTTACTAGACCTCACTGTAACTCTATGCCCCTGCAAAGGAAAATAAATGCCTTTATTTCTTCAAGCTTTAGGTAGCAAGCTGTCAGTCAGTAGTTCAATATGGATCAAAGACCAAAGCGGTTGACACCCAAGTGATTTCTTGGAGAACAAGAAATATCTGACTTCTTCTCCGATGAGCTATCTGACGTCCCTTGTGAGTCTGCTAGTGATAGCGACTCACAATCTGATAGTGAGTGTGGCAGGGGCGAACAAAAAATTGTGACCACAGACAGTGAAAGTGAAAGTGACCGTAGCTCCGACGAATGTGCAGGTAGCAACATTGCGGGGTTAGCCACATAGGGAAAAGTAGACAAAACGCCTGCTTTGGGACAGTTTACTGGAAATCCAGGGGTGAAGCAAATTCCGTCGGACCCAACGCAAGTGTCTGAAGTAGCGGAACTGTTTTTTGGAGATAGTTTCTTTGACATGCTATGTCAGGAAACTAACAGATACTATCTCCAACACCAAGAACATTATGACAGAAGTTATAAGGCGTTGAAGTGGGTGGATGTCACTTCAGCAGAAATGAGAACATTTTTTGCAATTATCTTTCTAATGGGCCATACAAGGAGGGATAATCAACAGATCCATTTTTAGAAATTCCAATTTTCTGCAAACTAATGAACCCTAAGAGATTTGAGCAAATTTGGTGGTGTTTGCATTTCAGTGATAATTAATTGCAACCACAGTCAACAAGCAGGCTTTTCAAAATTCAGCCCTTATTGAACTTTTTTATTCAGAAATTTCAGACAGTTTATAAGCCAAACCAACAACTGTCTTTGGACGAATCTGTGATTCCTTGGAGGCGAGGGCTTCATAAGCGAACATATAATCCTGGGAAACTTACAACGTATGGCCGGCTTGTTCATGTAGTTACTGAAAGCACTTCAGGCTATATTTGAAATTTAGAAATTTATTCTGGTGAAGGAAAGAAATTACAAGAAACTGTTCTTTCCATTTTGGAACCCTATCTTGATCAAAATTACCATGTCTATCAAGACAATTATTATAACAGTGTGGCAACTGCAGAACACCTATTTTTGAGAAAAGTACATGTTTGTGGAACAATTAGGGTGAACAGAGGCCTTCCTCCAGATCTGAAAGAGGAATGTAAATCCCTGAAATGTAATGAAATCACATTCAGGAGGAAGGGGGATATTCTTCAGTCCTGGAGGGATACTCGTGTTGTGAATATGATTTCCACAATTCACAATTCAAGCATGGTTGATGTTCAAAGGAGACATGGACAGGTAAAGAAGCCGGTTGCATTTCCGAGTATAATATGTTCATGAAGGGAGTTAATAGAGCCGATCAGTACTTGGCCTAGTATTCTCTTCCTCGGAAAACAGTAAAGTGGACAAAGAAAGTTGCCTTGTGGCTTATAAATTGTGCCATTTTCAATTCATTTTTGGTTTTCAAAAATCTGAACCCTCATTCAGAATTGAAATACAAGGCATTTCTGCTGAATGTGGCAATAGCCTAGGATACAGACCACACGGTGGCGGCAGAACTAACAGCAGACACAGTCTTAGTATGACCGGTGCCGTCTACTCCCACCCCATGCAGGCCTCATTTTGACCCCCCTGGGCGACTCTCGGGTGATATGCGGAAACATATCCTCGCGAAAATTGTGAAGAGTGAACATTTCAAGGGGAAGGAGCCTTGTAGGCAATGCCGTGTTTGTGCAATTCACAAGAAAAGGAGTAGGACTGCCTACATTTGCAAGTTTTGTGTAATACCACTTCACAGAGTGGAATGTTTTGAGAAATATCAACCTCAAGCACTTCTAGAAGCACTGGTAATTGTTCTCAAAAAATTTTAGTTCATAAAATTAATTAGGAGATTTTATATTAATTTTTAAAGTGAACAGTGCACAAGTTAGGGTAGTAGGTATAAAAATGCCAGTCCGCAGGGTGATTTAAATATTTAAATTGCCAGTCCGCAAAGTGCTAGGCACTACACCATGAAGGTGTATGGGGTACTGGATGTTTAGATCCATGTATTCCTGACCTTGGCACTAGTTGGCATGAGTGGTCAGCTTCACGCCCTGACCACTTTACCCCTGGAGAAAGAGCCCCCAATACTCACTGGGTAGGAGGCTGAGTGGGCCCCAGAACCAGTCTGAATGATGTGGGAAAAAAAAAAATCGCACCCCTAGTGAGATTCAGGACTCTGACCCCCTGGCCATCCAGCCAGTCACTGTACTGACTACGCTATCCCACTCAGCCAATGCTGCAACGAAAATATTTTCCATAAAACTACATGCATTGTTATAAATTAGAAAGAGGAAAAATTACTGACAACATATGATGCTTGGAGTAACAATCTAAGCCACATAAAAAGAACACCACAAATGACTTGTGCTATTTTTAATTAGCCAATTATATATCATTTCTAGTATAAGAGTTCAGACACATTTATGAAAATCTGTACAGTTTTCTAATGTAGAAATTTCCATAAATATTCCTTACCTAAAAAAGTATCTGAAAGTGTGCTTAGCAGTGAGAGGATTGAATGTAGGAAAGTCTGAAAGTGTACCATGACAGCACTGAATTTGTGTAAATGTAAGTCTGGTAAATAATAAAAACTTACTGTGTACATAGCTATGATTTTGAATCATCCACTTGCAATCCCAAGTGGAAGTTGCTATCTCTCTGTAGAATGAAATCATAATTGTGCTGCATGATGGTAACAATGCCCCAGTAGAGGGCTGCACACACTGGTTGCAGATAGTTCTAATTCTTTGAGCAGGTGGATCTTCCAACAGAAGTCTGTGTCATCACTTGTCATTTCCATACAAGAATGATTATTTAGAAGCTTTTTGAAACCTGTATTTTCTGTGCTTTCGCTACTGGATATTATGATTGGTTTGTGAGTACATGGGGTGTGTAGCAATGTAACAGTACTAGTGTACATAAAGTACTGTGAAATGATGGTAGTATAATTTAACAAGAGAAGCCATTTGTTACTATGCAAAGGCTGGTAAACAGCATGTGACAGCTGGTTTCTGCAGCAGCAGATACGAATACAACAATGGAGGGACTGCTGGAAATGATGATTCCTATTGGGTCTGCCCTGAGGCTATGTAGCAAGCACCAGCTAGACAGCCTGTTGAGGTGAGAATATGAGGGAGTTGCCATTGTGGGTTAGTTGTAATGGAGTCGCCTGCCACCAAGGACAGGAGCCACTGACCATGGAAGCTGAGGAATCTGCAGTGTTGTTAGCCATTGCCAAGCAGTGGCTAATGAAGATAAACTAAAAGGACTTAGTGTGTGCTATAGTGAAGTGTAAAGTGTGTGAATTGGTGATAGTGCCGTAATTCTTTAAATCCAATTACCAATCCAAACTGCATGTCTAGGTACTAAAGACGTGACAATACATTTAAAAAATTAAGAATAACATCTTGAGAAATTCAGAGTTAAGGGCCAGGTCAGAAGTTCTTTAAGTGTGGTGTGTGATCCCTTTGGAGACATTCATATTCCTTCAACATGAAATTGATGTTAGCTTCATATCTTCATCAGGGACAAAGTTATAGCAGTTTAGTAGTCACTTTTTTTTTTAATTGTAAAAAATCAGTAAAATAAAAACTCTTACAGAAGCAGGTCTAAATATGGGCATGGTAAATGATCTCAGTGAACAGATGTACCCCACCAAATTTCATTATTATCTTGGGGGGGGCACTTTATCTTCTGTGATAATTTGATTTGGAATAACCCTTATGTTTAGTCCGCCCAGGAGAATTATTGAGATTGTGGTGGTAAGTTTGAAATTGTTCACCTACCTACAAAATCAGCCTTGGTAAAAACACGTATTGTTGTAGATTAATTGTGTTATTGCTTGAATTTATACTAGTGTTACACCTCCTGGCATCAAAGTGCAAATATCATCTTTTTTATCTAATTTGGTGTATGCCTTGACATACACCACCATTTCTGTACAGGCATGTCAAAGTTGTATATGCGTGATGTGATTCCTTCCCATGGAACATGTTTTTAACAGTTGTATCTCATACATGATTCGAATGGATGTTATCAAAATTATTGTTTCACTTTCAGTATCCTTGTAATTTCTTACAAACAGATATTGACTGCTGTTCAGTTCAGAATATAATGCTATATCAGTACTCTGAATGGCCCATAAGAATCTGTATCATTGAACTGTAGAAAGTAATGAATGGTCATAGATAGTAATAATTTTATATACTTCATTTTGCCTTTTTCACAAGGGGGTGAGGGTGCTGTCATTTCAGCTGCACCACAGATGACTGCTGGTGGAGCAATTGCAGCAGATATGGGAAGTGGAGGCCCTGGAAGACCTGTTCCTCCTCAGCATGGGTATGTATTTAAGCATGGGATAGATAGAGGTCCTAAAACTTTGTTACTTTTCTTTTTTAATCTCTATGAGGTAGGTGTTAATTAATTTCTGTTTGATGTTCCTCTTGTAGATATATTTACTTTGACATGTTCCTTGAAAGAAACATACACATTATTCTGTTCAATGGAATTTTTCTTAGTCACAATAGAGACTCGTTTTTGTGTGTTTAAACAACATGGAAGCCTTTGGAGATTATGTTCACCATTTCCTGAAGTTTCACATTTAATTGGGTTAGATTGAAGATAGTGTTACATGTTTGAAGATGTGGACAGCCAGAAGAATAAGTTCCATTTTTAATGCTTTATGTATGCACATCTGTATCCAGAAAGTAGTAATTAATTTGGAATCCTGAAAATAAGCACTATTTTATAGCAATTAATACAGTGGAACCTCGCTTAATTAGCATAATTCGTTCCAGAGTCTTACTTGTAATGCGAAACACTCATTAAGCGAAACAATTTTTCCCATATAAATTAATGTAAAATACGATAATGTGTTCCATTCCGAAAAAAATACTCAAAAAATTTTATGTATAACTTTTATTCAAAGAAAATGATATATACATTGTTAAGGAGCGTGAATCATCTTCATCTTTTCTTCTGTGCGGAATGAACCAACCTGGAATGCAAATTCGATTTGCAGAAAAAAAAATCGAAATAATTAGTTTATTATTTATGATACATATCTAATTCTATTTACTAGAAAGCTGTCTACAGACATTTGTTTTTGCCGACATTTCAAAATTTGGTGAAATTGGTGAAAATTTGGATGCCGGCTCTTCTCTTAAACTTCTCGAACCACCCACGGCTTCCCTTAAATGCTTCTTCTTCAGCCATTGATGATCCTGGCGTCTTCTTAACGAGGTCAGCGAAAATCACTTTTGCCTTCTCACAAATGATGTTCTTGTTAATAGTGTTGCCTTGCAATTGCTTTTCGTTTATCCTTATGAGGAGCAACCTTTCGACATCGTCGAGAATACGTAACTGTTGCATAGATATTCTTGTCACTCCCTTTGAAGCATCTGTTTCCTTAATCTTGTTCTTGAGGATAGTGCAAATCGTTGATGTAGACCGATTGTATGTGTGTGCTAGATCAACCACGCTCACACCTCATTCTCGCTTTTCAGTGATTTTACGTTTCATTTCTACAGTTATTTTTATTCTCTTATGGCTGTCTTTTTGCAGCTTTTTCTTCGGGGACATTTTTGCAAGGGTTATTAAACTCTGCAAAAAAATCACAAATAATATGTCTGAACACAAGTTTGGAAAAATGTGTGATCACAAGCAACACTAAGTTGCTAGCGGAACGAGTGCTAAACACAGACTGATGTAACAAGCGCACAATCCGGGACTTCCCCTCTCGTCACTTGTTATGCAAAATGTCGCTCGTTAAGCGAGTCATTTTTTTACAATTTGTTTTGCTCGTTATGCGAATTACTCCTTATGAGAGGTGCTTGTTAAGTGAGGTTCCACTGTATTTTGTTCCATTTTTTTGTACAAAATAAAGTAAGGCTCTTTTTCCATGACACTTTTTGTGATGCATCTTAGTGATCCACTGATCTAAGTGGACCTGTTTCCACACAGTCACATGACTGATCAGTGGTTGAAGACATGCCACAGAATTTTGTGGAAAAGGAGGCTAAGAGTAAACAGATTAATGTATGAAGGTATCTGTTTCCAAGATTGATATCTGAATTCCTGGTGGACTACCCTCTGATAGATAAAATGTATTGAAGCCAAGGTTTTATACAGTGATAAGTAAAAGCAATAATGAAAACTGTGTATGTAAGTTTGCTGTGTAGTACTTTCAGTATCATGCTTTTTTGTTACAGGGATTCTACACTTACTGGAGATATGGCAGAAGTGAAAACTCAGTCAGATTGGACAGAACACAAGGCTCCAGATGGAAGGACCTACTATTACAATTCAGTGACAAAGCAGAGTTTATGGGAAAAGCCAGATGAATTGAAAACACCAGCTGAGGTATCTTTCCATTTATGCAAACCAGATGCTAGATTTAAAAATTGACATATTAATGGTAATAACTATAACACAACGTTATCATATAATTTGGCTGTCTTCTAGCTTCTGCTGTCTCAGTGTCCTTGGAAAGAATATCGTTCAGAAAGTGGAAAAACTTATTATCACAATGTCAACACTAAGGAGTCACGCTGGACTGTGCCTAAAGAATTAGAAGAATTAAAGGCTCGGATTGCAGCAGAAGAAACAACGACATCAGCAGCTACTCTCGCTGCACCTCTCCCTCCTCCTGCAAACAGGTTAATCTGTAATGTGTTGTGTGTTTTTTTAGGTCATTCTTCCATTCCAAGGAAAATAAATAATCACTTGTGTTTGAATCAGTATCTGTGTTTTTTTCACATATTGGTAGTTCTGTTGCTGCCCTCTGAATTTTCACCCAAATTTTTCCCTTCTGAATTAACTCTCAGTTTTGCCATTTATTAATGCTTCAGTACAGCTGGTTTGAAACATATGTAATGACCATTTGGCTGCCTTTTATGGAGTGCTAGGTATGATGCACATCAGAGTGCACGAAAGATTAAAAATACTGTATAAGAATCTTTCACTGTTTTGCTGTGTGCTAATTCTTTGTTTATTTTTGTGCTAGTATTCCAGTTCCCATGTCAAGTCCTGCATTATCTCAACCCATGCAGGTGACTCCATTACCATCTGTATTAACATCTGGGCCACCAGTAGCTGCAGTTGCAAGTCAGTTGAGTCCTGGTGTCAGTTTACCTCCTGTTCCAATTATTCCTGGAACAGTTCCAGTTTCTGCAGTAAATGTTCCTCCTAGTGCTGCTGCAGTTCCATCTCCTCATCAAGGCACGCCACCCCCCTCATCAGCAGCGAACAAAAATTCAACTGCACCTTCAGCCATGGACCAAGCAATGGCTGCCACTCTAGCAGCAATAAGCATTCCTACACCACCAAGCAAAACAGGTAACCCGATTATCTGTCTTTTATGATTGATGGAGTGATTGCTTTATTTTATTGCCTCTGATATTACATTAATTAGGAAGGTAAAGTTGCTCCTTTGCATAATTAGTTAAGCACCAAATCATGAAGAGATAGGGAGGAATGGAGGTATAACTCCACTATTCTTAACTTGAGCATTAGATGAAGGTCAATGATTAGCTTCATGTCCCAGTAGCTTTACCCACACCTCCAGTACGTGTTGGGTATGAGGCTTGATGGCCCCCAGAATCAGTCTGGATGCTGTGAGAAGAGAAGAATTTCTCAGCCCCTAGCCTTGGCTGCTGACATTAATTGCTTACATATGTACCTGACTCTGTCTCATAATCGTAGTAGTAGTACCTTTAAAAATTACCTGCTAAACATTTTTCATGGTGGCAATGTGCATTATATTTTGAATAGTTAACACTTCACGGACTGGCGATTTAAATATTTAAATCACCCTGGGGACCGGCATTTTTAAACCTACTACCCTAACTTGTGCACTGTTCACTTCAAAAATTAATATAAAATTTCCTAATTTATTTTATGAACTAAAATTTTTGGAGAACACTTTCCAGTGCTCCTAGAAGTGCTTGAGAGTGTCATATTTCTGGAAACATTCCCCTTTGTGAAGTGGCATTACAGAGAACTTGCAAATGTAGATATGCTCCTTTTTTGTGAACTGTGGAAACACGGCATTGCCTAGAAAGATGCTTCCCCTTGGAATGTTCACTCTTCACAATTTTCACGAGGGTATGTTTCCGCATATCACCCGAGAGTCGCCCTGTGGGATCCACATGAGGCTTGTGTGGGGTGGGATTAGATGGGCACGGTCGCACTAAGCCTGTGTCTGACTCTGGTTCTGCCGCCACCATCTGGTCTGTAGCCCAGGGCTGTGCGACATTCATCAGAAATGCTTTGTATTTCAATTTTGAATCAGGGTTTAGATTTTTGTGATTTTTTAAATTGTTTACTGTCCCCGCAATGTTATTACCCCCATTATCGTCGGAGCTACGGTCACTTTTACTGTCTGTGGCCACAAGTGGCCACAATTCTTTTTTCTCCCCCGTCACTGCTGCTCTCTCAAACACCATAACTGTGCATCTCACAAGGCAGGTCAGCTGGCTCATCGGAAAAGAATTTGTCCTTGTCCATACTCCAACACTAACTACTGGCTGATACATACAGCTTGAAGAGCAACAAAGCATTATCACTTATAGTGGCTTAAGAAAACAGCGAGATCAACTTACTGACAAGTAAGGGAATATTCCAGAGTTTTATTACACCATTATGTGGAACTTGGGTGGCGCCAGAGAGATGTATAGTGTGTTGCAACGTATCGTGTTTTAAAAACCTGTTAACAGGCGAACGGTCCACCATGTTTAAAAGCAAAAAACCTTTTAAAGGGTGCGCAGTCTGCAAAGTGTTAAGGGAGGCTGGCATGTAGGAAGTTTTATAAATATATGAAAAAATTATGTCAGTGGCATAGGGATGGGATTCTTACACGAGGATGTTGCAGGTTGTGCTTTGTTTGTGTATATGTTCAGGGCTCTGGGTTGTAAAATTTCTTAATTGTCAGCACTGATAACTGCTAGATCTCATGCTGCCACTGTTAAAATTGTAATATAAATATTAAATCATGTCTTTATTCTGAAATTATAGTTTTAAACTGTTCCCTAAATTAGCCATTTGCCTTGAAATTATCCCCATTCAGAGATTGAACCTTGAAGTCTGATTGATTCTAAGCTATCACTCATGTCTTGACATCACTAATCACACTTGACATTATATCAGACACCACTCATATCAGCCATCTTCAAAGGAGCTGTGTGGTAGGAATTCCATAGCACAATGAACAGTTTTCTAGCCGCATCTTACCACTGCCACAGAAACATTCCCAAAGTAGGGGTTTCTTCTTTCTGGGATTTGTCTGTGAGGGCCTTCGGTTCCATCTTGTATGAAGTGAATAACTAAAGTTTACAAGGACAACATTTAGGGAACAAGGGGTGGGCAGCGAAATTTTCCAGATTGAGTTGTATTATCTTTTAATTGGAAAATGAATTTCTTGTGTGTACAAATTTCAACTTTCATTATCTACAAGATTTTAAAAATTATGCTAGTAATTTTATTAATATTGTAAGTAATGTAAATGTACAGTTCTTCTCAGTTGTATGTCTGGGCTTTACAGCTGATGAAGACAGCGGCTCTAATAAGGACTCTGCACCTGGAAGTCGTACCAGCACGCCAGAGCCGAAACTTGTGTTCAAAGACAAGAAGGAGGCTATTGAAGCCTTCAAAGATCTCCTACGTGAACGAGTAAGATGTTGACAGTATTTTCTTTCATATTGTTTTTCGCATGAGGTACATGATGTAATAAGCTGGTAGCAGATAGTGAAAGTGTATCAGCATTGTCAGTCTCCACTTAGAATTACTTGGTTTTTGGACTTTATCCTCATCCAATATTCTAGAATATTAAAAAGCACAGGATTTTAAAAATTTTGTTTCGTTTCCAACTTCAGGATCTACTGTTATTCTTGTTTCTGCTGCACAGTAAAATGGCATGTGACTGTGTTTGTTTTGTGGAGCTGGAAGGAGTTGGGTCAGGGTACCATCACAAACAAAAATTACTACCCTTTTTGTTTTCTTGATCTTTGCAAGAAGGTGTAAGTCAGCAAGTGGTTGCTTGACATCATTGAACTTTGCTTGAGTTCAGGATATTGCACAGTTTTGTTGTTTTGTAGCAGATACTGTGTGACTACTAGCAGCATCATACAGTCTTGTCCCCCACTACTTCACTGCATGCCACTGCATCTTGTCACTGCCAGCTCTGAACTAACTTCTGTCTCACAGTTTGCACGGTTTCTTTTACACTATCACACATCTGTTTCTGATACAATGAGACTCGTCTCAGTTCAAGCTGTTGGCCACTGTTTTATGCACCTAATATTTTTCTCATAGTCCTATGCTTTTATCAAGCAGGCAAGATACCAGAATGTCTTGAAGAGACAAGGGGGTGGTCTATAACCTTCTGTGAACAAGAGGTGTGCACATAAGATTTCATTTGATCTCTGCCCCCCATGGTTGCACAACAGTATTTTATGAGAGTTGATAACAATTAAAGAAATGATAATGGTTGCTGTTGTAGCTGAATTACAGACTGATAAGAGCACAAATGTTGACTGACACAAGAAGTTCAAAATATCTGTTGTTTCTTCACATATGTTCCCATCCATTGTATGTGTACTGTTTATCTGTATAAAAAGAAATGGCCCAGTACACCAATGACTGTTTCACCACTGATGTGCCAAAGTGATAGACACTGTACAGCACATGTATTTCCATCTCTTTGTTTCCATATCCAAGATCACAGAATATGTTGAAGTTACTCAGCAGCAATTACTTCAGATGTGAAAGAAAAAAATTTATAAGACTAAAGTATATATAAAGTATATGAAAAATTGCATTGTAGTTGTACTTATTCTTCACTTTTCACAAGCTGATAACTTCAACTTGAGGTACTTGTGTTAAAACTGCCACATTCAGTCTGTCATTTCATTTTGTCATTTATCCCCTTGTTTGACACCTTGCCTGTAAGCAGCTGCACCTTAGGCATGGTTTTTCAGTTCACCATCACATATTTTAGTAGTTATGAACTGTCTGCCAACTCTGCCAGCATTATGGTCACTCATATCTTTTCATTGACAACAGATTTTGCACCTGTGTCATTGATGCTGTAATTGGATGTCATATTGAAATGCAGTCGCATTTAACTGCATTGCCAGCTGGATTTCTTTGCTATAAAGACAATGGCTAACATAAAGAAGAAAATACTAGAACACAAATTAACAATAACACAAGAAGACAGACATAAAAACAGTAATTATAATCAAAAAAGTAGCCAAATTATGTATTAATAATTTCGTGCAAACAAACTTGTTTATAGAGCATCAGAATCCAGTCATCCAATACCTAAGAAACTAAACAAGTTATCAAACAGTGCACCAACCATACACCTTAAAACTAGAAATGGAAGCGCTGTAATACGAGCCCTGAACTACATAATATACATGCTGCAGTAAAGGTACACAAAAGCCTAGTATCCTCTGTATACCATGTCACCACACACGTGTCATATATTATGAAACAAAATAACTACCCTATTCATATAACATAAAGAATACACTATATGTCGTTGCATACCTACAAAACATAGATGTCAATAAGAACACAAAAATATGCTCCTTTGATATAGCAGATATGTACTTAGTATTCCAACCAGTCTAATAAAAGAAATAGGAGATGTAATAAATATCTTAATATCACAAAACTATTTTTACTGTGATAAAATATACTACAAATAAGAGAAAGCATTTTCTTTGAGAGTCCCATCTTCTGCATTTTTGGCTGAAATATTCCTGTAGTGCTTAGACCACAACAAGATGTATCAAATTCATCTGAAACACAGAATAATAGGATATTTCAGATACGTAGGCCATATACTTATTGTATACAATGAAAACTTACAGATATGAACCATTCATTAAATTAATTTGATGACATAAAATCCAATTTAAAATTCTCCATTGAAAAAGAATTGAACAATAAAATAAACTGCCAAAAAAATTTGAAAAAAGAACAGAAAATAGTGTACAGTGTAACATATATTGCAAACTTACATCAACCACCATGATAATACACGGTACTTATGTCACCCAGTACAGTGTAAAATGGCAGCTGCCAACTGCATGAATAAACTTCAGTCCCATGAATAAAAAAAAAAACAGAAAAACAAATAAATACAAATTTCATAAAAATTGGAAATTAAAGAATCTGCCGTACCATAGAACAAAACAGCTGTAACCAGAATAACTTCCAAATCTTTCTGAACTGAAACCAGAAATATCACAAAAATGTCCAAAGACTCCCACATAAAACCTTCAGAACATCCATCACTATACACAGACACAAGAAAAATAAGAAATTTGACAATATACAGACTAAAATGCCTTAATTGATGCCTACAGTATACAGATATAGTAGTAGACACACCAAGACACATCCACTCATGCACAACACATTTTAAACAGTGGACAAACTATGGAAACGTAAATAATATATTGTAAATAATCCAAAGAATCGGTAAAGATGGATACCACATTTACAGTGTGTACAGACAAGATATTAATAGGTAACAGCACTGGACCTCTTCATCATATTGTCACATTTTTATTGAGTGTGACTGTAGATGGGTTTTGGATTGATGACGAGTTATTTATTGACTATTACAGTGCATGACTACACTGTTACACGCACACACTAGTGTCCATACTCATGTCTTCGCTGCTGTTGCTTGATAGCGGCTTTTATTGGTGGATGCTCCCTTTGCTCTGGATTCCCAAACTATCCCCATCCTCAGCTATTGTCTTGTAACAGCAGCAGCTCACAACAACTGAACTCCAGCTGTTATCTAACTCACTGACTGGCTGACTAACCAACTACTGATTTGTCCTTCACCAAGTGGTCAGAAAACGCCATTCCTGTGATGCTGTTTACAGGCTGCTGCCTAGTAAAGGTCATTATATAGTTGCTTCATTTGTGGTCATTGTCTAGCAATGGGTGTATATGCCACAATATTTACACATGCATAATCACTATATCAAAGATAGCAGCACTGTATACACCTTACACCACAATAAAAAGTGTACACACTCATGAGCCAGTAACAGCACCAGTTCCACACAGATCTTTTCCCCAACAGCATCAACAATGAGCAAGGTAAGAACACATAACTTATCAACATCCCAAGTAAAGACAAATGCACTGGGTAAGTCGAGTATTAAGACAATAATAACAACACTTAATGTTTCAGATTGATAACCAGTGATACCCAACATACTAAACCAAAACAAATTAAAGAAACCTGATAGAGACGTACCAAATCATACATGTAGGACATCACATGCATCAGAATATGCATGATGAAAAACTGCTTAAAAAATTGGAGACAATTCAAGGAGCAGATATAGAAGAACTTGCGTCAAATAAACTACAGAAGAATGATCTAAAATGTCTAAAAATTAGCACAGCTCTTCATAATGTTAAATGCTGATTTATACTCCACAATCTATGTACATTATATTTTAAGAAAACTTAAAATTAAAGGATTTAACAATAATATTTTAACAAACTGGTACAGAATGCAACAAAATCAATTCAGATATTACAATCTGTGCAATTCATCAAGTAATGGTATTATAAAGACAGATCTAAAACTTTTAAACAACACTCCATGTATAGATAATAACAGGTAACCTGACAATGAATGTAAAACAGCTTGATGGATGACCATTAAGCCAAAACATGTTGTGATGATAGTGAACTGTATGAATTATTTCAGTTGTATAGTGCAGTTGTGTTGATGGAACTTCTGCTGTATATCAATCAGAACTGTTGATGTGTGATCAAGCAGTTTATCCCTCTGTTAGTTTGAATTATTTTATATAGAATGATTTCCTTTCAGGATGTGCCAAGCAATGTGAGTTGGGAAACAGCTGTGAAACTTATATCATCTGATCCGCGTTATCCAACACTTCGCAAGTTGAATGAAAAGAAGCAAGCATTCAATGCGTACAAAACACAGAGACAGAAGGAGGAGAGAGAGGAACAACGCCAAAGAGCAAAAAAGGCTCGGGAAGACCTGGAAGAATTTCTTATGACATCTGTCAAGATCACATCTGGAACTAAGTACTACCGTTGTGAGGATCTTTTTGGAAATCTGGATGTGAGTTCGAGAAGATAATTATTGTAAACAAATATATGCCATGTCTGATACATGATTCATAAGATATTGCCATATATACTTAACATAATTTACACTTAACACATGATTTACTCGTATGATTTACACACCCATTTTTAACTGCAGCTCTTTGGTTAAACAGATAAGAATATAGATAATTAATCATGTAATTTACATCATTGCATTCTGCTTGCTCTAAAATTAGTATATTACAGATTTAAACAGACATGTGTCATGACTTCTGAAGTAATTCGGGCAGTCATTTATGCTTGCTGAACTCAAAAAATGTGAGAATTAAAACCTACTGATGCCATTGGCAGGTAGCCAGGAATAGGTGGTTAGGCAGAAGGGGGGGGGGCTAAGATGCATACACCAAGGAGGAGCTTGCAGTCATTGGAATCTGTATGCTTTTTTTCCTCCTGGTGCGTATGTTATCAGTGTAAGGGACTGCCAGTTTACATTTGAAATGAACACTACAAGTATTCCCAGTTCTCTTTTAGATCTTGTATTTGGTTGTCAGTGAATACTTCAAAGAGTAGGCCATAATTTCTTACAGTTGACTGCTAACACTATAGGGTAAAAATCTATTTTTTATGAGTGTGAGAGATTAGTGAAGTGTCAACATGTTCAAAAATTTTGATCAAATGTAAAAGTATAACCCGGATTGACATTTCACACCATGCTAGTGCATCTATTCATAAAATTGCAGGAACTTAGTGATACTGTATTAATTGATATGGCTAAGAGATATAGTAACTAGTTTTTGTTCTACTACATCAAGCATTAGGCCTCAAGGCATATTGCTGCCCCTGAAGATTGCTTCTGCCGTCTTTTCTTTGGTCTTCCGTGGCTTCTTTTTCCCTGACTTTGATAGTCCACCTTTTGTCAGGGAATTTTATGTTCAGTTAAGTGTTGTGTGTAGTTTTCCCAGTTTTTCTTTGTATTAACAGCTCCATTCACGCTTCCTACATGTACTTTATTTTTAATATAATTTTGTTATTCCAGTCAGCAATCTCAAGAATCACATCTTGACAGCCTACAGTCTGCTTTATCCTTCTTTGGTTGACTTTGGATGTGGTTATTTTAATTCGGTGGAAATATTGTATTTTAGTATCACATTGTGTGAGAGACAATTTTATTATTGTTCAGTCAACACAGTTGTTTGTATAGATTCGCTATACATTATTAATAAATTACTAAATTTGCTATATGTGGTGTATTAATTACTATAGTCCCACTGTGTGAACAGTGGCCAGTGTGGGGAAGACTAGCAGATGGGGGGTAAGGGTAATTGTAAGAACTGCATATACCTGAAGATGACCATTAAGGCTGAAACGCGTAGTTATTAATACTTAACGTATAGCAAATCTTTGCAGATGGTTATGTCAACAGAACAGTAATAAAATTAGTTTCATGTATTTCCACTTTGCCATTATACTTGTAATTTTGCAGCAAAGATAGATTTTTTAATCCATGTAACTGAATGTTGTAGGTATGGAAAAATGTGGCAGAAAGTGACCGCAGGGACATCTATGAAGATGTGGTGTTCAGTTTGGCAAAGAGGGAAAAGGAGGAAGCAAAGACAATGAAGAAACGTAATATGAAGCAGCTGGCAGAGATTTTAGATGCAATGACAAATATTGGTCATAGGACTACATGGCAGGAAGCTCAGCAGATGCTGTTAGATAACCATGCCTTTTCAGATGATGCCAACTTGTTGGGTAAGAGGCTTAACATTGAGGTTTGGACAAATTACTCACAAGCTTCCAGTTATAGGCAGTGTGAGAATTGTCAGACTTAAAAAATGAATAAAGTAAGATGTCTGTGTGTTCAAAGAAATATAATGTCTTGAAAATAAATATTTTGCATAGTAGTACCATTTATTCATATATTATAAAATGAATGTTATCAATGGATTCCCATTGTTTTGTTCGTTAAGCAGTTTCTTACATGTGAAAATGTTGTAATGAGATGATACTTACAGAATGCAGGTGGTTACTTCTATGTCACACAGCAAGATGTAAAAGTACCTGTGGGTTTCTGTGTTCAAATGTGACATGTTATTTCTTGATGAGGCATACGTTTCATTGTGATTCGTTTGTTGACAGTTGTATGAATGTTTTGATAAACAAATTTTTTGACTTGTGAGCAGACCTTAAGTTTTCAAAAAAGACTCTGATCCATGCAGTTAATTACAGTAAACTTCCATTATCCGTGATGAGTGGGGAATGGGATGTGCCAGTTGCATGGAGAAAACTCTTCCAGAACCCAATTTTCAGCACTTTCCATTCATTTAATATGTCCATTATCTGTTTGAAAGTCAGATCAGTTTTGTTTTCACTTTAGTTCTTTTATGGGTGTCTTTTTAGGAGACATAGCAAATTTATGGCTTAAATACAGGGTGATTCAGAAACATGGACACAATTTCAATTGGCTGTATTTCCTGAATTATATGTTGCATTTGAATTCTGTAAATTACACTTGATTGTACATACATGGAAGTTTATAGATGTTCACTGTGCCCCCCCCCCTCCTCCGGCTGCACGGATAACATCTAGACGGTAGCTGAATTCATCCTACACTCGATGACAAATATCTTGCGTCACTGAGTTCACCGCAGCTGTGATACAGTTTCTTAGGTCATTCAAATTTGTGGGAAGAGGTGGTACACGCCACACAGTTGTTTGCGATAGTCCAAGTTCTCTACTAGCACTACGGGTTGACTTCATTGGGCTGCGCTCAAAGTTCACTCGAATGCACTCCACGTTCTCCTCCGATACACGCGATCGGCCCGGGACGCAGTGATGGAGGGCACTAGCGGTAGTACTAGAAACTTTGTAACATCCTCTTTCAAATGTACTTTACAGAATTCAAATGCAACATACAGTTCAGGAAATATAGTCAATTGAAATTGTGTCCATCTTTCTGAATCACTCTGTATTTCAGAGATACTGTAACATAATTACAAATTTATCTAATCTCTACTATAATCCTGCATCACTGTGAGTGTAATGGCTTCTCTGTGAAGAAGAACAATGGGCAGTTCTGCTAGGGGCAGTTAAGAGAACTTGCCATGTCACAGGTGAAGAAATGCATGTTTCAACTTTACTTTTGAAGTAACTTTATTGGTATTTTCTTTTTTGTGAACGTTTGCTGGTTTTATGAGAATTCCAGATGTTTGGATATTGGATAACTAGGAGTTTACTGGAGCTGGTTTCAGTTGAATGTCTCTTTGTTTTACAGGTATGGACAAAGAGGATGCATTGATAGTGTTTGAGGAACATATCCGGGAACTTGAGAAAGAGGAAGAAGAAGATAAAGAAAGAGAAAAGAAAAGACTTAAAAGGCAGCATAGGAAGAATAGGGATGCTTTTGTAACATTGCTAGATGAACTTCATGAACAAGGGAAGTTAACTTCCATGTCACTTTGGGTAGAACTGTACCCTATCATCTCTGCTGATCTCAGGTTTTCTGCAATGTTAGGCCAGTCAGGTTAGTGATTAATTTTAGCAGTCCTCTGGTATTACAGTGTTAGGGTTTAATGTTGCTAACACTAGAAGTTACATTTGGATGTGATCCTGATTCAGTTCAGTCCAAACCACATTACCAAAAGCTGTGATCATAAGATCCCTTTGTGTTTGCATCTTCATCTTGATCTTTCCAAGAGGTTTCTCCATCAAATTTTGTGTTTGTTTCCTGTTTCTTCCATCTGAGGTATATGTTTAACCTGAGCACCTACTACCCTAGAAGTATTAGGAAAATAGAAGTTTCCATGATATAGTTTCCACCATTGTCTTTGTTCAAATAATTATTTGTTTATTCTTGCCTGCAAATTATTATGAAAGAACTACTGCTGCTTCTTTTGATTCTTCCTTCTCCTCAGCCTCTTTAAAGCATAGGCTCCTGCCTGTTTCGATTTTATAACCATCTTTCAAGTGGTCTCTTTATCTGTGTTTCTTCAGTTCAGTCCCACAAGGCAGACATCAGGATAGTGCCTTAAATTAGACCACTGTCTTTTCTTTCCATGTCCTCCAGTTCATTATCTGTTGTCATCCAGTCATTCGTTGCTGTAAGTTACTGACAGTATTATGAAATAAAGTACAAGTAAGTGAAATAAGTAGCCTACTTTCCTTTTTTTAGGAAAAGAGTAGGCTTGTGAAATCACCTTACTGTCTGTGTGTCTCCTCATATGAACAGTTGATTGATTTTGACAGAATTTGATATGGAAGATGTGTCATTAGGGGTTTTACCTCCCATTCTCTTTAAGACAGTCAATGATGATACTGTGGCAAACAAATGAAAGTGTGAGGTTGGAGTGACACTAGCACCACTTATTCTAGGACAGTGAAATAATATATGGTAGTGGATCTTAAAAAATTATGTATATTTCAGAAGGTAATTTTGTTGCAGAATGAGAAACAAAATATTGGCTGCATGAAATATCTGTTTGCAAAGTTATGGGTTAGCAAATGGCCATACACTCATTTTATCATGTATGTATCTAGATTCCTGTTTGGACTGAAAGAGTGCAGACTAAATTGCTACTATGTTTTAGGTTCTACACCACTGGATTTATTCAAGTTTTATGTAGAAGATCTCAAATCCCGTTTCCATGATGAAAAGAAGATCATAAAAGAAATACTAAAGGAGAAAGGTTTTGAGGTCCAGGTGAATACTTCTTTTGAAGAATTTGCAACTGTTGTGTGTGAGGACAGACGATCAGCAACCTTAGATGCTGGAAATGTGAAACTTACCTACAATGCTTTCCTTGAGAAGGTGAGTTCTTGAGTAAACTCTATATGAGATGTATACCTCATTTTAAACCCTACAGAAGTCACCAAACAACTTGGCTGCCATCTCCATTAATTTTTTAAAACTTCAGTTAATATTTAAAGTAGAGAAAAGTACATGTGTTGACAGTGTATTGAAAATAAAGGTTTAATTTTTGTTTGTTGAACTTTGTGGTGATTGCAGGCAGAGGCTCGTGAGAGGGAACGAATCAAGGAAGAATCTCGGAGATTAAAGAAACTTGAGGCATCATTCAAATCATTATTAAAGGCTGCCAATGTGGACTACACTTCAAACTGGGATGATATTCGAGCCAAGTTGGAGGGAGAATCATCTTTTGAAGCAATCACGCTTGAGTCAGAACGAGTTAGAATATTTAAGGTAGTGACGAATAGTTACAAAATGCTAAAAATGTGAAACTGTGTTATTCTGTCTTTGACTAATCCTAGGAGTTGCATTATAAATTCCTGTGATGGTAAGTAACAGAAACTTAATTCTTGGAAGATAAAATTTGAAACATTTACTGACGAAAGACTGAGAGCTATACTTTCAAAATAGTGTTGGCAGTTCAAAAATTATTGGCTGCCATGCTTGGGGTTAAGGTTCCCATGTAGCTTTCTATTCAAGTTTTTCAGAGGTTCTTGTATTTTGATATTTTTATGTATATTTTGATGATGAGATATGTATTACAAATTTGAGTGTATATTGTAGGAGTACCAGCATGAAAATGAGGAAGCATGTAGCCATCATCATTCCCGTTCTAAGAAGTCAAGGAAGAGTAAAAAGCAAAGGAAAAGATCACGAACACGCTCAAGATCACGATCTGTAAGTCTGCATTGCATGTTGACATATTCATTGAAATTATGTTATGAAAGGTCTTCCAGCCTTTTACCTGTTTCTGTGGGAGAAGTGTGCACTTAATGCAAAAACCATGAATCCTGACCTTCCACAAATTTAATGAAAGCTAAGAGCTGTAGATTATTCTATAAAATCCTGGTAATTATACCATAACTTTGTCTTCGAAAGGTTTGCCTTAACCGTAAGATTTTCAAAGTTTTATTATGTTCAGGATGTAGAATCTTTTTTGGCACTGGGGAAAATATTGTGCCATATAGACCCATTGCTAGTCAAAGACCTTGAAACGAACAACAGGTACAGGTGTTGCTGTGCAATAGACAAATAAACAAATGTCTCTTTCTGAGCAATGGCTTGGGAAACACATCCTCGCAGAAACATCCATGCAACAATAGAAGAATGGCGTTTTCAATGTGGTCCATGCCAAGATGTCATTGGCAGGCCCATTGGAGCAAGTTGGCCTGTAAAAAGAAGACTAGAAGGTTGGTGTGAAATGGCTGCCATCCTGGAGTTAGTTCAGTTGAGAGTTTAGGGTTGGCATCTCAGTTGAAGTCTGCAATGGAGGCTGAGAAGAGATGGTGCTATAGTTGAGTGAGTCGACTTGAGTTCTGCATGGGGTACTGACAAGGAGCTGAGCATAGGTAGCTGAAGAATCTCCACTGTTAGAAGTCATTGCTAGGAAACTTCTAGTGAAGTCTTAGTAAACTTAGCATATGCTTGTGATTTGTAAAGTGTGGAGATCAGCGGTAGGGCTGTAATTACTTGTAGTTCCGAATGGTGTGTATAAGTGGTCAGTAAATCCATTTTCCCAACAAACCCCATCTATAGTCACACAGATAACAAGTGACAGTATTCTCTTTCTAAATTTGTAGGATATACATGGAATAAAATATCTGTCTGCCATAAGCCTCTCCTCTCCCCCTAACAGAAAAAGTATATTTCAGAGTATGCATACAGTATACAAGGACTGGCTTGCAATAAAGTCCAAAAATTCAGGTTCCCTGGATTTTACGGTGTGATGTTTTACAGTTTATATAAAACCTCAGTATGGTAGTGACTAAAAATTTCTGCTTGGACATCCAAAGTAGAGTGAAATACCATTTTATTAGTCTCTAATGGATACTGACAATTTACACAGTATGTAATAAGCAGAATCCTGCACTTCATTTGAAATACAGGATTGTTGAGAAAACAAAATTTCACAGCATTACAGTATTTTTGGAAATATATAGCAGATTTTGCAGATGTTATCATCACTATTAAATACAATGTCATATATTTATGGCATATAAAAGAACTTTCACTCATGATAAAGAGTTGAAAGAAGGCAAAATTAGACTCCATTTTCAGTTTTCCACAAAGCTCCTGACTTTGCTTCTAGATACTGTTGCAGTTGCATGACTCCAGAGACCTCTGGCAGACAAGTGGAAAATGAACCAACCAAGCTGAAGTCCATTGGCTAGTGTAACTTGCCTAAACAGTGTCTGAACAGTAAATTAGTTACAAATGTGCGAACTACAGGGTGATTCATATAGAACTGGCCAAATGAAATGAGGTGTAATATAAAATATACCATACAGATATTAAAGTAATTTACACATATCTTATCTTGGATTGTGTGACGTGATCAGAGCAGGTGTTGAAAGTGTCCGCCGTTTTCAAGTAGGCATTATAAACACTCGCTGTTCAACAGTGTACTCCATGACTGTCGCCTGCGCACTGCAGACACGTTTCGGCATTGTCCTTGACCTTGCAGCATAAGGGCAAGTTGCTGCAAAAAGGTCAGGCCAGTAATTTGTTGTGCATTTATAGCATCCCACACCCCTGCTACTTTTATGTTATGTAATGGCACTCGGATATTTTTTACTCCATATTCTCATAATTTCATAGATGAAATTATTGAGTTTCATCAATATGGGTTTCGATGTAACAGGTCAACTATTGATCAGATCTTTTGCGTTCATCAGACCCTGGAGAGAAAATTGGAGTACAGTGAGAGAGTACATCGGCTATTCATAGACTTCAAGAAAGCCTATGATTTAGTTAGGAGGGAAGTATTGTACAGTATTCTGATAGAATTTGGTGTAACCATGAAACTATTTAGGCTGATTAAAAACAAAACATGTAATAAAATACATATAGGTAAACATTTGTCTGATAAATTTCCTATCCTATGGTGTAAAACAAAGAGATGCTTTATCGCCACTGCTTTTCAACTTTACTTTAGAATATGACATTAGGAAGGTCCAGGAAAACCAGGAGGGATTGGAATTAAATGGGACAGATCAGCTGTTGGTCTATGCTGATGATGTGAATCTACTAGGCAATAATATAGATACCATAAATAAAAACAAAAACTTCTAATTGGTGCTAGTAAGAAGGTTGGTCTCGAAGTAAACACAAAGAAACCTAAGTATATGTTGCTGTATCATCACCAGATTGCAGGGCAGAATCATGGTGTAAACATAGCTAACAGAAGTTTTGAAAATGTGGTGCAGTTCAGATATTTGGGGATGACTATAACAAATAAAAACCTGATTCAGGAGGAAATTAAGAGGAGATTGAATTTGATTAATGCTTGCTACCATTCAGTCCAGAACCTTTTGTCTTCTTATCTGCTATCTAAAAATATAAAATTTAGAATATATAAAACTATAATTTTGCCTGTGGTTCTGTATGGGTGTGAAACTTGGTCTCTGACATTAAGGGAGGAACATAGACTGAGGGTGTTGAGGAGAATATTTGGACCGAAGAGAGATGAAGTGACAGGAGGTTGGAGAAAACTGCATAATGAGGAGCTTCATAACTTGTACTCTTCTCCAAGTATAATTAGAATGATCAAGTCAAGGAGGATGAGGTTTGCAGGGCATGGAGCACAACTGGGTGAGACAAGGAATACGTATAGGATATTGGTGGGAAAGCCAGAAGGTAAGAGACCACCAAGACCAAGGCGTAGGTGGGTGGACAATATTAAAATGGATCTTAGAGAGATAGGATGGGATGGTATGTATTGGCTTTATCTGGCTTAGGATAGAGACCAGTGGAGGGCTCCTGTGAACATGTTAACAAACCTTTGGGTTCCATAAAATATTGTGAAGTTCTTGAGTAGCTGCACAATTGGTGGCTTCTCAAGAAGGCTCAGCTCCATGAGTAAGTGAGTGAGTATTTCATATAATCTTTATATTAACATGACTAAGATAAAATCATGCCTCATCAATTATTAGCACCAGCTGTAGACCCACATCTGTCATGCACACTCTGCAGCAGCTGGTTACAGAAGAGAAATTCTGTTGCTTAATCAGTATATTACGTGGGCAAAATTTAATTAGCCTTGTGGTTGTAATTGAAAATCCCAGTGAAATGCCATTTTGTTGAGGCAGGCATTTTGATGGTTTGCAAGGGCCAATCTGTAACTCTGCCTGAGGGTCTTGAGCTTGTTCTTCAGTTAGCACATCCCTCTTGCATTGTCTCTTTCTCTCACAAACTTAATCTGTATTCGTCACTTTTTAACATGCTTCAGTGTACACAAGTTTGTGGGAACTTGTACTTGTGGGTATTTATGGATAAACCTCTGAGTGCACTGTCTGTAAGATGTCTTCTATATGAATATTTCAACTGTGAAAACACTATTAAATCATATACATCGTTGCAAGAGTAATATGTTCGGATCTCAAGATAAAGAGATGTGAGGAAGCAGAATGTCCACATGCTGTTATATTAATCACACCATTAGTTACTATAGGATTCTGACGATGGTGTATAACACACTGATATATTGGGTTTTCGGACTTTATTCATCGTCCTGGTTTTTAAGATAACTAATAAAAACATGACATTTCAGAAACTGGATCTGTTTTCCTTCACCTGAGGACGGAAACAGATCCAGTTTCCGAAACGTCGTGTTTTTATTAGTTATCTTAAAAACCAGGATGATGGATAAAGTCCGAAAACCCAATATATCAGTGTAATCACACCATATTTGCTGACAGCACAAGTGACCCTCTCATTATCTTCACATTGATCATAGACAGAACAAACTGTACTCTGTTCATGGGGTTGCTATATTTCCTTCTTTTACCCTAATGGTCATGTCAGTATACTAAATATATAAATATGAAGTGAAGGTAATTCTCATGCCACAGCTTGCAAAATTGCTTCAATTTTAGAAGATAGTGAGACTGGTCATTAATTTGTGGTATTAATATTGGTAAAATTATAAAACTAATTGTGGCGTATGTTATGCAGCCTGGTGGTTCAGAATCAGATGATGACCATGGTGGCCACTCGCGTGGCAGAAAGCGACGGCACCGTACATCTAGATCACCCAGCAACACCAGTAGGGCTGGCTCTGTGGATAGTTCTGACAGCCAATATTCGTCTGCCAGGAGGGCAAGACATAAGAAGAGCAAGCGGAAGAAGGCACGTTCAAGATCTGTGAGTTGAACAAGATTTTTGGGATGGTTGAAAGTTAAGAACCCTTGCCAAAATAATCGTCCCATACATGTTTTCATTTAACTGTTATTGAGAAAAATTTGTTACTTCTTATTCTGCGTAAGTCCACTAAAATTGTTTTCCCATGTGTGTGTCTAATGTAGGCTCTTATTCCGGTGCGTGCTCTTTGTCGTAATTTTGAATTATGACAACTTGCTGAGATTTTTCTTTCCAGTTTTGATTTTGGAACAACATTGTTGGGATTGCAGAAGATGTTAATGTGACGTTCGTAATATGAAGATGAAATTAATCTTTAATACACGGACTTACCTCCTGCCTGTGGGGCCCCTCAGGTTTGTTTTTCAGGAAATTCACTAGGTGTAAGACTGCGCATGGTGGCCTCATGATTAGTATTCCACTTTGTATTAGGAAGTCCCTTTGTTTGAATTCCAAAAGAGTTTGCATGAATTTTCATGCTACCATCATTCTGGTATGGAAATTATATTTTATCCTACATCAAAAGTCTTTCCTCCCTCAGTTCAACCAATGAAAATTCTTACTGTTAGTAACAATTGGTACATTGGAAACCAAAGTAATGGTATATTTCTAGGTTATGTGAATCAAGAATCATTTTTACATGTACCAGTCTTACAACTATGAGTCACTTGACATTGTTCTTAGTGGAGGAGGCCTTGGAAGTTTGGGAGACGTCAACACCAGGCTACTTACAACTTACTTACTACTTACTTTGCATTACAAAGAGGAGCATTTTCTGTGCCTTTCACAGTATATTATGATGAACATGGCTTCATTTGTCAGTCTGTTCATATAGGTCCATCATCATCATCAATAATATAATATTCAATATGAACTAAGTTTCTTAGTAAATGGTGGCTTTTAAGAGGAAAGTTGAGGTGGAGCATAACTCCAATGGAGATCTTGAATCTTGAAAATTAGGTAAATAAATAAAAGTGATGTGATTACAGGTTCCATAGTAACTGGGAATAATCAGGCTTCAAAACCTTGTGTTATGGCTAGTGGTGTCAACAGTTGTGGCTCATATAATGTTGGAGTTAATCAACTTTCTCGTTTACTTCTTTGAGTATCATGAATTAAATTCCATGCCTGTCTTAAGTTACAAATGAACTAGCTACTGACAACAATTTTCTGTAATTTGAATTTATGTATAAATTTCAGTTAAATCAGCTCATGCCCAGATCTAGGACACTTGAGAATTCTAATTGTTTTTTTTTTTCCAGTTCTGAGGAAACACTTTGGGGCTACCTTTCTATCATATGTATAACTAATTTAATTTATAAAACCTTTAGCCATCTTCCAGACAAAATCTATGTGTTTAACATTTTTTTGCACTTTTAAATGAGCATAATTCCATTTTATCTCTACAGTATTTGATTCATAACAGGATTTTGAATGAAGATTTCTTACAAAATTTTGAATTCCCAAATTTTCTTCATACCACAACTGCTGCAGAAAGTACTGATGGTTCACTTAATTTTTTAATTTCATAATCAGATATTGCAAAAAATAGTTCACCAAATAACCAAAGATGGCAGCAAGTAATGTTCAGGAATGAAATGTAAACACACAATCATCCTAGCTGAGGCAAAGTTAATGTATAAATATGTGCATATTGTATTCACACCATTTTTGCTTACATGTAAATAAATGTAAGAGTATATCCTCTCTGAACAGGAAGTGCACTTTTCCTTTAAGATTCTGGTGTTTGCTTTCATCTGTACTAGCACTCTTGAGGGGTGAGGAAAATGCAAGGATTTACTGTGCATAAAGTCCGACAATTCTTTTCACCATGTATTGTCTGCCAATAGGTCAGAGGTTCATGAAGCTGCTAGGTGCATTTGTTTATCAGATGAGTAGTAAATATGGTGCATACCTTAGGGTACTGGGTCAGTACAAAAGCATATATGCCATTTGATTATAAAACTGTTCTGATACAGGTCTCAGTAGAAAATAATAATTGGAGTTTGTCTCTTTGAAACTTACAGAATATTAAAACCATTGAATAATAACATTAGATTTTGTATCGCAGTTTAATGTAACTAAGTACTCCATAATTTAGCTCATGACTGCAAATCTTTTCTCCTTCGATTAAATGCACTTCATTAATGTTACGGTTTCACATACATGAGTGTTCTGAAAGTAATTAACACTTTAAGTTGCATTTGGATGAGTCCATAGTCTTGTTAAGCATATATAAAGAAAAAATAGATTCTGTAGAACGCATGTCTGTGTATTACAGATTTGAGTAAATTCAGTTGGATCGTGCTGAAACTCCATTTAAAGTCAATATAAGATAGTGAAAAATCATCACTCAAAACATCTGTTTTTATTTAATGAATAAGATGAGGTACCTCTGTTACTTTGTATGATCATGTTTTTCTGTTTAATAACATTTGCTATGGCATGCTAAATGTCTAGAAATAAAAGGTGCAATTCCAGCAAAAGAAGAAGAATGTAAATGTTCCTTTTGTCCAGTTTCAGAAGATAATTTTTGGCATTTGGAATGTCTGGCTTTATTTTTCCTACAAGAGTATTAGTTTTGAACTTGGATGAAAACTTAATCTAATGAGAGTTGTTATTTGCACTAAAAAACATCTGCTGTTAAATTTCAGTATATTATGTACCCATGTACATGACTTTAAATTTACAATTTTGAATGGTACATGGCTGAACTGATAAAACTTATGTATCATGTTAGGAGCTGATTTGCTTCAATTCAGTATTCTAATCAAATTTTCTGTTCTGTTAGTTGCTATTTAGGAGATTTGACAGTGTGAGGTGCATCAACTGCTATAAACAGAGTTTTGTACATATCAGTACAAATTACCATAGTATAAACGTTATAGGTATATTTTATCATTAAGTGTTCCACCATGCTAATTTGCCATAGTAGTACCTCGCAAGGAATACAGTTTGAAAATTTGGGGAGAAAACAGATTGAATACACTATCTTAAATTTTATCTTGGTTACTGTTCTATGATTCAAGTTAGGAACATGCATATTTCAGCATCTTGAAAAGAATTGTTGTATTTGCCAGCATGAAGTAGTTCAAAGTCTGGTTGGTTTGGGCTTGTTTTCAAAAGAGAAATTTCTGTATTTTGAATGGTTCCAAATTCTATATTAATGGTTTTTGAGTGGTCAACCAAGAAAGAATTTTTGAAAGCTGAATGTGAATAACACATTGAGTGTCTGACAAGAAAATAGTTGCTTCCCTGCCTGTACGTACTGCTTAGCAAATTTGCAGCAGTGCATACTACAAGTTATTGTATATTCGTTAAACCAATACAACATGCATATTGTGGATTATGACATCATGTAGTCTGTAGGTCAGTACCAGTGTTTTAGAAGAACATAATATCTTGACAATCAGGTATTTTTACCCTGAAGATGGAAGCAGTATAGTCCTCCAAAATATTAAAACCATCACATTAAATTTCTGTGTCATAACTCTGAAGATGACAGCATGAATCTTACTGCTATTAAAGACATAAATTTTCTGATAATATGTAGTCTTCCTGGCAGATTTTGTTCATGTTCCCAGTAATGCTCATCTTGCAGGGTATGTCCAGTAATATATGGGAGAGTGATATTTTATGAGCAAAAAAGTCTCTATGTAGAGAAATCTCCCTTCCTAGTCACTATAATGCTCAGAGAAATGGAACAGATTTTGTCTGTCATAAGATTTTCATCCCCATAGTGTTTAACTTACTGGCATTTATCTTTACCCATGATGCATTCTTGTATCTTTCTGTATTGCTTTCAACTACTGACTTCTGCCAAGAAATAAATGAAAAGCAAACTTTAAAATCCTACCAATAGTGTTGTATTATATTGATACCTATTGGTATGAAATTTGTTAGTGATCTGTAGGTTTGAAAATTCTGATTCTCCTATGTAGGACATTCCTGCTAAGCCACTTCTTAAACAACAGATATTATGTATGTGTATTTACTCATTCACCATTCCGTGTTTTGTACAGCTGTAAGGTGAAAATATCCAATTATGAGCTTACTCCTATTCCAACACTTTCCAGTTTCTTGTTAGAATCGAAGAATATAATGGACGCTTTACATGAAGTTTTATATGTGTCTGCATGTATCTTGAGCAGAAGTTGTTAGGTATTTATTGCAACAAGAAATATTTTGAACAAAAGTTGGAGAGAAAATGGAGTGAATATTTTATGCCCAGTATAGTTTTAGTATTTACTCAGCATTGCTTAGGTGCTTGAAAGTGAAGTGATATAAGTGAAAATATATGCTTCTAAAGAAATATTTTCATCAGACATATTTTCCAAGCTACTTCTCTCGACTTCCTATGCTAATAATTTGACGGCGGAATTAATTACAAATTTACTTTACAATTAATTCCATTGTTCACTTACTAAATTTGACACAACCAAGTGAACTTGATTATTTTATGTTCGGAATAATATTCNTGAAGTACTCAGAGGAAACCTGCCCCAGCACCACTTTGTCCACCACAAATCCCACTTGACCAGACCCGGGATTGAGCCCGGGCCNCAGTGGGAAGCCAGCGACTAACTGCTTGAGCTATGGTGCGCCCTTGAAAACCTGTTAGTTCATATCTGTGGAATACTGAACTATAGAATAAAGTGATGAAGGTAATTTCACACTTTATTTTGTATGTATGTATTTGAACTATTATATGAAAAATTGAATGAAATCTCCTTGCATTATTCATAGTTTGCTAAATGATGATGTGCACATAGTTACTGATTCAGTCACATGTTTCTTTCTGACCTCATTAGCTGCATACAATATAAGATTAAATATATCATGTAATATTCTCATATTGTTTTAATTTTAATTTGAAATTGAACTTTAATTAACCTAACTAGTTTCATGGGCATACCAAATTTAATAAAAATGTTTTTCTTTACTTCCACCTTACTGAATTATGTGCTGCATTCTTGAAGTCTATAAATGGCTGATGTGCTATCCCATTGTACTCCCATTTCTTCTACAGTGTCTGGCTAATACAGAATATCTGATCTGTCATTGGTCTGTTATATCAGAATCAATACTGATGATCCCTAATAACTTGATATATGAATATTTCATTTGTATTTATTTATGGTTTATTTAATGATGTTCTCAGTAGTTGTGACATTTCTGATCATGAGATCAAAACCCATCTACTTTTACAACTCTTATAGTAATTCAGTATATCCAGGTTGCATCTTTAATGATTTGCCTTACTGAGAATGTGTTGTGTTTTAAAAACTGGTGTCACATATTTAACAGTATGTTAAAGAGGACAGATTGAACTGAGAATGTCTAGTCAATAAGAATGCCAACGCTCTCCATTTTGGAGCTATGTTTACATAAATATTTAACCTTGTACCCATTTCTCTTCATAATTGAAGATTAGTGGTTTAGATGCTTCGTACAAAGTCAGCATGATTTGTGGTGACGGAAGGGAAGCTGTGCTAGGATTAAAACATGACAGCGTTTATGTGGTGACTTGTCGCACCAGAAGATGAGGGACAAGGTTGCAATGTTTTGAAGTCTTCCATGTGAACATAACTGATATGCATTGTAATGCTGAAAGTCAGCAGTGTATTCTTGTAACTTGGAAAATCCATGCAAAGTCCCATTATTTTTCACCTTTTGCTTGAAATAATTAGCTAATATATGTGTTTGTTTGGAGCCAGGATAGCGTAGTCGGTATAGCGACTGGCTATGGCCTGGACGACTGAGGAGCTGAAGTTCAAGTCCCAGTAGGGTCAAAAATTTTCTCTTCTCCATGTTGTCCAGAACATCTCTGGGGCTCACCCAGCCTCCTGTTGAATGGGTATCAGGGGCTCTTTCCCTGGGGGTAAAGCAGCAGGGGCGTGAAGCTGACCACTTACCTCCAACTAGTGCTGAGGTCAAGAAAATGTGGATCTATACATCCACTCTCCCGTACATCCTTATGGTGTAGTGCGTAATTAGTTAATCATTACCTTATATTTTGGTTTACATAATCTGGCACATGGGTCATTGGTCTGGAAGTTTCAAGAACACAGTAAAACAACCCAACATGAAATGCTGTACTTTCCCTAGAATTGCTTGAGTTGCTAAAGCGAATGCAGATGGTACAAGTATTGAAAACTTTTTGATAGTAATTTAAACTTGCACCACATGAAAATCTTTTGCTATCATACAAGTACCAAACACTTGCCATTTTGTTTGAATCCCAGAATAGCAGTCTAGTCCATCACTTAGCTTCTGTCCATTTTGTACCAAAACAGGAGGCTTAATGGCATGACCTGAAATGTTCTCAAACTGATGAAATTCGGTCATGGAAAGTTGTGGTGTGGTTCAATGTTAGCGAGATAAAGTTGTCACTAGAAGCTTATGGTACAAATGCTTCTTACCACAAGTCTATAATAAGAGCAAAAAGGTTTTCTCCAATATGTAGAAATTATTTCCAAAGTGTTCTTTGATTTTGCACACCTTATGAGCCTGATATTCTCCTGTAACAGATTCAACAGCTAATCATGCTGAAAGGTAATCATATTTTACAGAATCAATTCATTTTTCCTTCCGTTTCATTAAATGCAGTATTTACTCTGTTGACTTATATGTCAAATGAAATTACAAGTTTTAATTATATCTTACGTATATGTCATATATTATTTTTATTTTTCGATGAGACATTTAAGAAAACTGATGATGTTTAAGATTAGTGTAAAGTGTATGTTATATTACAATGATACAAATGAAAATGTATTCATTATTTTTGGAGATGAAGCAAGCTGACAGATGGAACGAAGGGTTAGCTTCCCCCATATGCTTTCATTTTGTGTCCATTCAGTAAAGAACACATAGTATTCAAGTAGGCACCGTGATGACTAGATTTGACATATTTTCATACTAGTAAATATATCGTGGGAGCTGGGATAGCATAGTCGGTATAGTGACTGGCTATGGGCTGGATGACTGAGGGGTCAGAGCTCAAAGTCCCGGGAGGGCCAAGAATTTTCTCTTCTACAAATCATCCAGGATGGCTCTGGGATCCACCTAACCCCCTATCCAATGGGTACCGGGGCTCTTTCCCTGGTGGTAAAGCGGCCGGGGCGTGGAGCTGACCACTCACCTCCAGCTAATGCCGAGGTCAAGAAAACATGGATCTATACATCCACTCCCCCGTATGCTTTCATATCATAGTGCATAATTCATTGAGCACAGGGACAACTTTACTTTTAAATGTATTATGTCACTTGAAGCACTGTGTATAATGAGAGAATTGATTGCTTGTTAAATGTTCACTCATGTGCATGTACACATACACGTGCATACTTTACCCTTTAATCATTTACCTAGAGATTAGAATGTTAACAGATGTGGTGTTGTGGTAACTTTCAGCCTGTCTCTCCACCACCAGTTCATCACTCTAGTGGGTCAGACTCAGGTCACAAGCAGTCTCGTAAACAGCGTTTAGCCAGAGGAAGCCGGTCTGATGAGAATATCTCACCTCCATCTACCAACATGGGAGCACCGTTATCTGCTAGCATAAAGGCTCTAGGCAAGTCCGAGGATGGAGAGTTAAGTGAAGGAGAACTTGAAAAACGACGACTGTTGCTGTTGCAACAACTACAGCAAGAGAATTGATATTCTGTGCCATTGTATTAGATTTCCTTGTATTTTTACATTTATTCATTTCTACGTAAGCAGCCTGTACTTTCAAAACACAGTTATGTGTCAGTTATGTTATGTGTTATATTATGCATTAAATGGAAAAGGGATGACATATTGCTTAGTTATGTGAATTCACATCTTTAAAACTTCTTTATATCTAGGTCTGCACAAATCTCAGGTGCCAGGTCACAAAAGATTTTCATGATAGCACTCAGAATTTTCTTCCTGTTATATTATTAGTAGCAAATGACCCATCAGTCATTGTGAGCAAAATAATTTTTCTTTCTTTCTTTCCTTTAGCTCTTTCACACTTTTATCTTCTTACCTCCTTTCTCCCTTATTGTTGTCCCATCCATTTTATTTCTGTCTTATTGTCTTTCATTTCCTATTTCCTCCATCACCTTCATATTAAAGCAGGTCCCTCCCTCCTTTTCTTCCATTTCTCTATTCCTTTTTCTCCTTCCCTCTTTTTTACTTTATTCCTTTTCGTTTCCATTTATTTTGTCAATTCTGTCATCATTCCTCTCCCCATATCCTCGTAGTGGTATGTTTGGTCTTCCCACAAATGCAAAAGGAACTGGTTATTTTAATTTTTTTATATGAATTGGCCACTGTTTATTTGAGGGTGTTTCTTTTTTTGCTCTCCTAGTTGTTGCAGGCAGTTCTGAGATTTATAGGAAATGTGTGCAAGTTTGCTCATTTGGTATGATTGTTGTGTCCGATTTGAATGTCTGCTGTAAATTAAATGCGGATCATTTTAAGTATAAGAATGTGTTCGATGCAACCAGTTTGATATTTTCCTCTTTCTGGGTCCTCATTTCTTTGCAGTCCACAAAGTACAAAATATAAATTATCATATTTGGAGTTAGTGTCTATACAGTTAATGCTTAAATTATAATTTTGCTGAAAGCTGAAAAACATTTAATGATATTAGAAATGCTTTATGTATAAATGTACATAAGCACGTATGAATGTTGATGCTTGCTACTTTGTGTTTTGGAATACAGTGCTACCAAACCACTTCAATCCTTTTACATTATGAAACTTTTTGAAGATGCACTGTGTAGTGTGAGCAAAGTCGGTAAAGTGACTGGCTATGGGCTGGATAATTGGGTTTCAGTTTCTGGTAGGGGCAGGGATTTTCTTCAGTACCTCATCCAGACTGGCTCTAAGGCTTACCCAGTCTTTATCCAGTCAGTATTGGACGTTCTTTTTCAGAGGTTAAAGTGGCCATGATGTGAAGCTGACCACCCAGCTCTACCCAGTGCCAAGATGAGTTATGTCTGGAGCTACCTCCATTCCTGTGATTCACTTTCATGACATAGTGCTTAGGGTAAGAGAAAGAAACATAAGGGCTGAGAAGTTGAGTTAGAGTCTACAGATTACCACGAATATATCAACAAATTTACTGAGTAAAACAGACTTTTTTGTCTAAAAATATCGTAATACTTCAACAGTTGCATGCAGAATGGTACAGCAAAGAAGCTGTGGAGTGCGTATGAAGGCATGTGCTACATTCACAAGATTATGCAGCAAAGTTGGGTATCTTGTATAACTTCACTGCATTCCATTCTTAGTATTAGAGATATATGTTCATGTGAATTTATGCACATATATAAGAAGGAGAGAATTAGGTAAGTGGAAATTGTATTCAGGTGATGAGTTTGTTGATATATAATGATATGTGTCCGTTAACCTGTTGGTTTGCCCGGACTACTATTTGCTTGCTGCACGCAGGTTTAAATTCTTTTTCTTGTTACAGGGAAGGAATAATAGATGACAGTGGATTTTATACTGCAGAAATTTGGAAGTAATTGCAATTACCTTCCTATGTGAATAGACAGAAATTTGATGTTTTGTTTGCTTGAATTTATAAAAGAAGTAACTGTATGAAACTTCTGAAAAATTAGTAGTAATTCTGGTGAAGAAATACTAACTAATAGGCCCATGTGTTAAGAATGCATTGTCTGCAGGTCTGATTTACATTTGTGATGTCAGACAGAAGTCATGTACCATAAATACAAATTGATGAATGTTTAATTTGTATCATGTTTTACCATGTTCTGTTTTCTTTTCTTTTTTTATCCTGAAAATTCATAAGAGTGCCCCAGCAGTACCTCCCTTTTTCCTAACAATTTTTCCAAAGAGGCAAATGTTCACAGCCATTTTTTGAATGTACATAATATGAATACAAGGAGACTATCTGAGAGCTGTGCTGGGTCGCAAACTTCCTTCCATGCATTATCACTGTGTTGGTTGGTGCCTTTCTTACTTGGTTACCTGTGGTGATAGTGAGACTGCAGCAGCACAGTAGTTATTGGCGCACTTGTATTATCTGCTGTATATATGCCTTAGATCTAATTATATCTGCATAGAACACAGGACCATAATCCTCCTGACTGTGCGCTGGAGTCTGTTATAGTGAAGTTCAAAACTGTAAATTTTGGCAGAGATAACACCAAGCATTTGTTCATCGGCTTCATGGTATAAGTATTATACATATTTCACATCATTAGGTATTACTTCTCAGTTACTGAGAAATGAATCCAAGTGAAAAATGTTTTTTTTTTTTTATTTAAATTGTCATACACCTGGTATTCATAATATTGATTTAAGTATTCTGTTGCATTAATATATCTTTTGTACACGTATATTTCCATCTTAAATGCAACTTATTTTCTAGTCACCCTTATTCAACACCCCATGTTTCTGCTGTATGTAGCCATTATCAGATGCTGTCTGTCTTGCTAAAATTGTTGCGCTGTATTTCAAAATTACGTATCACATGTGAACTGATATTTCCTAATTAAAATGAATCAATCTTGAATTGAAATTAATTAGCATCTTAATATTTTAATTGTGGTCATCGTCCATTTGTTTCAAAGGTATTTGAGTATTTCTCATTTTGGATTTATTCATGATTCATTCCCTTTGCACGTTTTATATGTTCACTTCATAAGGACATTGATGTAGTGTTATTATTAGTTTAGTTATGTATGCAACATTGGCTGAAGGTTTTTCCACGGTGCTAGACTAGTTATGTTTAAAATAAAAGAGTTTATGTCCACAATGAAAAGCATTAAGATGTCAATTCTAATTTAAGGTTAATTTATTTTAATTAGTAAATGTCACTTTCACATGCGATACTTAATTTTGACTTACAGTGCAACAATTTTAGCAAGATAGACTACACCTGATGATGGCCAAAACATGTAGTGTGGAAGAAACAGAACTAGATAATAAGTTGCATTTAAGAGAGAAATATGTATTTACAAAAGATCTGGTATTCATGTCTTCTTCCATTGCAGAAATATAGTTATTGCACTGTTGCATGAACTTAACACGCTTCTGGCCATACATTCATTCTGCACTGCTACAAGATTTCAGTCTCATTAAATAAAGAAGAGTGACTAGTTGGCTTACACACACTTGTAGGTCTAGGGATTACACTGCATATAGCTCAAAAATGTTCTTCCTCTTATTGCATTTAGTGGTAACCTTGTCCAAAGAACTTCCATGAGACATTAAGAAGTTCAGTGTTTTGTGCCATGTGCAAATGTTGCATACTGTGGGCTGTTTTGGGACAAGTTAATGGAAGTGCAGAATTAACATCATGTAAAGTAGGGCTTCTGCTATATCAGTGGAGACCAGAATGAAATTTACTAGACCATTTTAAAGCAAATGAAAGTTTAAATTTTTTAATAATATATTACTTTGAACATAAGATGCCATTTTCGCATTTTTCTCCATAGAAAAAACTGAGGTGCATGTTAAATTTTTAGGTATGTGCACCTTTCTAATTTTTTCGTAAAACCCACCTTTAAAAACTGGATGCATCTTAAATTCAACGATGTCTTATATTGAGAGTAATTAACTGATTATTAATTAATTTTTATCTCATTAGCATGAAACTGTAGAATCCATAGATGTATAATGTGCACTTAGTTTTGTACTGTAAAAATCGGTGATAATAAGGATGTATTCAGTTTTGATACAAAGGAGGCAGTTGCAAACAGGCGAGCCAGAAGTAATACAGATTCAGTTATTTTAATTCAGAGTCATTGCCTAAATTTTGTGGATCATGAAGTAATTATGTAATTGTGTAAAGGAAGGAATTTATACTCACATTTTTCAGTCATTTTCCTTTGTAGATTTCAGCTAAAATTGGTTGCAGTAATGAACCAAAATAATGTAAGTGAATAAGTATGTATATTAAATCCTTGACAGTATTTTTGCTGGTTGATTTTACTAGAATGAAAGTTGTCTTTTAATAAATTAAATGAATCTATTAGTCTGGCTGCTGTAAATATTATGGAAATGTAACTGAAATAATTTTAAATGTAAACAAGAACTTTTAAATATTTAAGGATGTAGGATGTTAGGACAGTTGAGAGAAGTGTTTTACATTGTTAAAGTTCACTGTTCCCAAAAGCATTAAATTAACAAAAAAGAACTAAGAAAGCAAAAAATAAACTACAGGTTTACAACAGAAAAGTTTGTCCTTTCAGAAGCATACCAAAGATTTATTTTAGAATTAGTCTCTTTCATATTCTGTAGAAGGCGCATCACTTAAAAACATTAATTCTTTCAGCTTGAGTAAAAAATATTCCTTCCTTCCATCTCTCAGCAGTTACATCTGTAGCTTGAAAATGGTTACAGAAACATTTCGCAGGTATGATAAGACTTCCATTGCAGTCATTTTCTTTCTGTATAATGTTGGGGTTTCTGAATTGGCTGTGCCAAAGAAGTAATTGAGAATTCTATGACAAAAAAAAAAACAAGATAAATTAGTTCAAAAATCTTTATTAGAATCCATCACAACGAGACGGTTGAGGTCAGTATTACCTTAGCTACAATGTTTCTGCTTTTAAAGCTATCATCAGGCAAATACATAGTTATTAAACTCGCAAACTATTGAACTGCATTTCAATATGATGGTACAGTAGTGCTGGATACTTGACTAATATGTTAGACTATAATAATACAGAATATAAAAATACAGTAAAGAAAAAAACAAACTCCATGATTTTAGTCCGCAGGTGAACTATACCAACCGAGCGATCGCTGCCTGTTGGCAAACTTTAGTGCCAACTTTTGCAGATAAGAGGATGTCGCGTGGTCAATGCAACGAATCCCCACAGCCGTTAATTTCGGTTTTCTAGACCGGAGCTGCTATTTCTTTGAAATAGCTCCTCGGTTATCATCACGAGGCTGAGTGGACCCTGTTCCAGACCCACTACTTATCAAAAATAAAATCTGGTAGCACTGGGAATCGGACCCAGATCTCTGGATCTGTAACCAGGAACGCTGACCACTAGACCACAGAGGTGGTATGAATACAATAAAATTCTAAAATTAATATAAAAATGAAAGTTATACAATTAAAAATATGGTTAAAAACTATTCATGTAATATTTCATATTATGAAGTCTGTTGTTGCAATCGTATTGTTATATTCCAGTGTACATATAACAGTATTATTCTTGCCATGTACATGTATAGAGTGGTTAACTGCTTGGAGGCCCATGGCATTGGTGCAGTATTATTTAGTATTTATTGTTTGACTGGTGCCTGATTTTACATGTGTATGTGATTCTTGTGGGAAGGCAGATTGCAATCTGAAATTCATGACAAAATTTTATCATGCCAGGTCTTTCTTAAACAATCACCATTCAGCTTATAACTTTATTATTCTTTACTGCTGTCAGAGAGGCCCCTGTTGGATCATATTCTGAACCAGTTCATTCCAACTTGTATCTTCACCACCTCTTTCCCTGACATTCATTGACTGTTGCCATATTGTATTGAGCAGGATAATGTAACACTATCGCTATATCAAGACTTGTGTTTGGAATATGCCTAGTTCAAAGTTTTCCCAGTCTAGCCAGGTGAATGCTGTAATAATGCCTTGAAATAGGCCATGACCACTTCCTTCTAGAGCACTACTTTCTCATGATTTTTTATCTTCATCTCACACATTCTGATGCTATATAGCTGCTGCACTTTAAGCAGAATTGTGATATAGCTTACAAAATCGGTTAGTCTAAGCATAGGTCTCAGAAGTTGTATCTTCCCTAGAGATTTTTCGACCAAATGCTTCCCCAAACAAGTAACTAAGGTATGGTTGTTAATAGATCTTGTGCAGTAGTCCATAAGAAGATATCCAATATGCCACTTTACACTGTGGGATATATTATAAGGAGAAAAGGTTGTAAGGTCATATACGTAAATGTTATGGTGAAAGTGGTCAGTTGTAGCACTGCAGCTGGCTGGTGCTGGAAGTGTGCGCAGTCGTCAACATTACCAACTGCTATGACCCACTTTATTTGTCACTGTTTTGTTCTTGTTCTACAGTTCTTCCTATTACTTATTCTTACAGCAAAGCAGGAAAGAAGATTCACTGCTCTTATGAGAGAACTGATGACAATTTGCTTCTTGTATTTCCCATTGTGTTTACTTGTCTAAAGGAATTAAAAGGTACAAGCATGTTCTTCATGTTGGATGGAGTTGAGGAAGTATGAAGACAACTTCTGAACTAATGCCCCACATTTCCATCATGAAAAATACACATATAAGTAAACTTCACAAATGTGCATAATGCAGTTAATGGTAGATACAACCCAAATTTATAAGAGCTGTGCAGTATTTTCCCCCCCCCCCCCAAATGTTTGCATTATATTGTGTAAGAATCTTGTAAAATACTGATGCATACTTTCTTGTAGTAGTACTACAAACCAGTATGAAACATAAGTTGGTGAAATGCATAGTGTACCATAAATACGCATGTTTTTTTATATGTATAACTAACTAAATGGAGCTGAGCCCTTCTTGAGAAGTTGCTAGTTGTGCAGCTACTCAAGAAGTTCCCAACATTTCATGAAACCAAAAGCTTCATTACCATGTTCACAAGAGCCCTTCACTGGTCCCTATTATGAGCCAGATCAATTCAGTCCATACCATCCCATCCTACCTCTCTAGCATCCATTTTAATATTATCCACCCACTTATAGGTTGGTCTTGTAGGCACAATAGATCACTGTAGGTCG